ACAGAGTGATATGCATTCTTTATTGTGGTGTAACAGTGATCCAATATATTACTGTCTCTGGTGGAACATGTGATGTGCTGTCTGTATTTTGGCAGTTCACGGGAGAGATTTGCTTTATTAAAGTGCCCAAGAATGATTAAAACAGAGTCCAGGTGTTGTTGTTCTGTCGCTGTGATCTGATCAGCTAGTTTCTGTGAAGCTGAGCTCACGTGTGCTTGCGGAGGAATGTTAACACTGACGAGAATGAACGAGCAAAACTCCCGCAGCGAATAGAAAGGCTTACAGTTAATGAAAAGCGCTTCTAGATCTGAACAGCACATCTTCTTTAACACGGTTACATCTGTACACCACCTTTCGTTGATGTAAAAGCATGTCCCGCCGCCGCGCGATTTCCCAGTTGATTCTGCGTCGCGATCCGCTCTGAACAGCTGAAAGCCTGGCAGATTTAACGCGCTGTCCGGTATGGCGTCATTCAGCCAGGGTTCCGTGAAACACAGAGCAGCAGAGTGTGAGAAATCCTTAGTTGTCCGGGAGAGCAGAAGGAGTTCGTCCATTTTGCTGGGTAGAGAGCGGAGGTTCGCCAGATGGATGCTAGGCAACGGCGTTCGAAATCCGCGCTGCCTAAGCTTCACGAGGGCGCCGGCTCGCTTCCCCCGTCTGCGCGTCCTGAAGCGCTTGATCAGCACAGTTGCTCTGCCAACTACTATGTCCAGCAAAACATCAGAATAGTCGAAAACTGGTAATATATCGGGTGATGTGTAGTGCCGAATGTCCAGCAATTCGTCTCTGGTGAAACTGATTGCAGGGATATAACTAAAGATAGGACAAATTAACAAAAACACAAAAACAACTGCAGAGCACGCCACGGAGGCCGCTATCATCATCGGCGCCATCTTGTATCACCATAGTATTAAGCCATAATATGTAATATTATTATGTAAGCCATAGTTATGTAATATTATGTAAGCCATAGTGTCAAGACTAATCAAGAATCTTCAGGTCGCGAGATGAGAAAGTCTAACATGATTACAATCACATTGTTCTGTGTTTACAGTTTCACAAGGAGAGTAAACACTGATTCTCTCTGCTGCTTTAAATTCACCATGAAACTTCAAACTGAGTTTGCATGAAACTTTCACAATCATTAGTATTCAATGCAGGTTTATGATTGTTTGTGACTATGCCAAATCATTAAAAATCATTTAATCTACCTATTATAAATTAAATAATATATGACATCTGTCAGCTGATTGATAGTTTATACTTTTTTTTGCAAGTAAAAGGCCTTTTAGAGTAATTGTAAAAATGTTCACCTTCAGGTTGTGGTTCACGTGTAAAATCTTTAATGATTTTTATAAAGTAAACATAAGAATAACTTTTATATTTTTAGTAATATTTCAAGATGAAAACGTACTGGACTGAAGCAACTTAGGTTTACTTGATTTACATTTTTTTAAATTAGAAAAAATCATGTAAATGTAAATATAAAAAAAAGATCCATCAGACTTTTAAGGAATGTTTATTTGTTCATCTCTCAGTCATCATTGCACTGCATTATATGTTTTATCCCTACTGAGATTTGATAATAAAACTAAGCATTTAAATATCATCTTACTAAGACATATTATTGAATTTTATGTAAGTACAGTAGTCTGCTTTACAGTTATAAAAGGAGCTTCATAATAGCCTATATCATTGTATGAGCCATAATAGCTTGATGTATCAAATATGATTACTTTCTAAATCCCATATCAACCTCGACCAGTTGAACAATACAAGTAGACATGAAACTGCTCTTTTACTTATTTTAAATAAATAACATAAAATTGCATAACCTACCCTTGAACTGACCAAAGTTTTTAAAAGCACTAAGTAGGCCTATTAAAAACATAGATATTAACATTAGATGTTAAATCTTGACGTTAAATACACTATTGTTTTATATAGACTTTTTCTATAGTCTACACTGTATTTAATGCAATTACATCAGCATTAACAGTAATTACACTACAGAAAAATTAGGAGTAATCCCTTAGTAATGCATTACACCCAACACTGATTATTAACATTGTAATAATATAAATTAGACCATATACATAACATTATAATTATTATATATATAATAAAAACTGGAAATTTGTTTTAAATAATTTTCCAAAACTTCTTTTGTAGTTTTGTCTTACAAAACAGCGTTATGAATACAACAGACCATGAGTGGAAAAGAAGGGTATCACATCTTGTTTATAATAATGGAGGTTTGAAAGAGTAAATAATTAATTTTTTCCTAAATGTTTCAGTTTTGGTTAAACTAGTCCTTTCCAATTTTAGGAGGTACTTCAATTAGATGACTCATGGGTTCAGTTGGAAGCTCCAACACAAGAGAAGATATGTATCCATCAAAAAGACCATCTCTGGCTAAGAGTTCCTGCTGCTTTCTAATACCACTTGCCAATAAATCTGTCATTCGGCTTTCATTACCCACCTTTATAGTGAAGTCTGCAGACAGCGGTCCGTAGCAGCGGAGGATCTGTCTGTCTGCTCCTCTCTGGTACTCCACCGTGTTGTTACCCAGAGCGTGAGAACCTGAAGAGCTGAACACCACCTCTTCTCTCCTGCTGTTTGGTGCATGAGCTTCAATCACTGAAATACGACATTTAAGGTTAAATGAGTGACTTTGCAGGATTACCACAAATAAAATCTTGCTACTACCTGACAGATATTGCTGAATCAGGTGTCCTGAGAAAGCACACCTGTCCCCGAAGCAGTGCTAACTGACAGTGGAACGGTTCACTCTTTACTCTAAACTGTAACACTGTCTACCTGTCAATCACTCTGTATGTTAGGGTTGGCTGACCCATGTTTCGATTGTTGGGATTCAGATGGAGGTTGTGTGGTTGTCTGGCAGACGATAAACATGAAACTGCCTACAACTCTTTTAAAAACTAAAATTTCACATAGTCTATGAAGGTCTTTTCAATTAAGGAAGTTATACTTTGACTCAATTAAAATTATTTATGCTAAGATTTTTGGTCATTTTGCCAGATTTAATGTAAGTAGAGTTGAAAGAGGACGAGAAATATGGTGGAATGATAAATCATATTTCTTACAATAAAAAAAGTCTAAAAATAGCCACAGTATACATCCATCCATCCATCTATGCATAGTATCCATCCATCGAATATAGTATATATCCATCCATCCATCGTATATATCCATCCATTGTATCATATGTATCCATCCATCCATCCATCCATCCATCCACCCATCCATAGTATGTATCTATCCACCCATCCATTGTATTCATCCATCCATCCATCCATAGTATGTATCATCCATCCATTTATCCATCCATCATGTGGGTCCATCCATCCTATCACCCATCATGTTTCCATCCCTCCATAGTATGGATTCATCCACCCATCCATCCATAGTATGTATCATCCATCCATCCTATCATCCATCATATGTATCCATTCATCCATCCATCCATCGTATGTCTCTATCCATCCATTCACAGTATGCATCCATCCATCCATCCATCCATCATATGTATCCATCTATCCATAGTATGTATCATCCATAAACCAATCCATCGTATGTGTCCATAGACACACCCACCCACCCATCCACTTTATAGTGTGTATCACCCATCCATCCATCCATCTGACCCATTTTGGTATGTAATGCCTACTTTGATCCAATAAATGTCCACCCTGAAGCTTTTCTTTCTATTTTTTTTCTTGTTTGCAAATTGCATTTCACAAGAACTTTGTGTCCAACTTTGAAATAAAGTAAAACAAAAACTAAAAGTTTAAATCCTTGTTTTAATCATTGGATCTCTCACTCCTACATTAAAGTTCTCAACCCAGCCATTCTAATCTGTAAGATGCCACATCACAGAAAAACCATCATCCAATCTGTTTGTCTGAGCAAATAAATGTTAACTGCCAATTTTTATCACAAGACGCCCTCAAGAAGAGCAGAATGACAATGTGGGAATTTAATCTCTTTGCGAGCTGTTTCAAAAAAGAAGGCATAATTATATTCAGCTGCCGCTAGCCACTCTCTAGCCGCTTTGACCAGTTGTTTGATTTTCCCTTACCGCTAACACATGTTGTTCTCTTGCTCTATTTACATGAAGGACCCACAATTATTTCCAAAACAGTGTATCAATTTGCAAACAACGGAAAGACATTTATTTATATTTGAAATTGTTAAGATCACATTGAATATTTTTAACAGCGGATGGCGATTTGTTATTTTACGGCTTGAAACAATAAACAATGGCAATTATTGGCACATTATAAAAGAGCTATAATATCTAAAACATCTCAATGAAAAAAACTATAAGGCACGTTTATAAACTTGGCTGTTAGATATTGGATTATACGTTTTTGTTTTCTTTATTTTTCTAGTCTTTTAATGTATTTTATGTATGGAAAAAATGTCTAATTCATTACTTGGGCTTTGGGATAGTTGATCGGTCCAAGTAATCTTCAGGTCACTCAAACCACATTTTTAAAACATCTGACAAGTCAAACATCCACTAAATGCCCTGTAGTTCTTGATGGATGTTAAGGATGTTAAGTTTGCAACTAAAAAGGAGTTATGCACAGGTTAAAGGGTTTAGATATCAGCATGTGTACAGGGAAAATAGTGGTTTTCCACAGAACGGAAGTGTGTACATGTGTGAGTGTAGGTCCGTCGGATGTGGAACGGATCACTGGGATTGGACTTCGGCATACTCTGTGTGTCCGTTTTGGAAATCTGCAAGATTACTGGCCCCGTCTCCATCGTACCGGGCTCTCAGCCACCACAAATTAGCCTGCACGAACACTTTATTCTTCTGCTCTATCCTAAAGTTCCCTCAAACCTCCGCGCATTTGCCAGTCCTCAGGTAATAGGAAATCTCTTTTTTTGGTCTTTCAGTCTAGATATAAAGATATAAAATCCATATGCATTCCCACACTGTGCTACTACACCAGGCGACCATGTCAAATACAGTTTGGCCGTGTCACTGTGGAAGTATTGTAAAATTTCAGACTATATTTCAGAAGTTTGAAGAGTTCTTTGGAAAGTCAGTCTCAGATGCTTCTGATGGCCTGTGACAACTTCCTGAGAGGAGCAAAGATGTTACAAATTGAAAAAACCCGAATGTTATGGAACAAACATGGGGAAAATACTCAAGATAACTGCCATCACAGTGTGAGAGGTCAGACTTTCATTGAGGGTTGATTTTGTGTAAATATGCAGTGAAAGCTATTCCATACAATCAAGAAAATTTCCTATAAAATTACCACGATTCCACGTACTATATAATCAAATACATTATATTCCTAAATAAAGAACTGCTGAAATGTGGAAGAATGTCACAAAGCCATTTAAAAAAAACATTTGGGCGATATTTCTCCTGAAAATTTAAATAAATAAATAAATATTATTTTTACATAAATATAAAGCTGACTCTGTTAAATTTATGTTGAAATTAATGAATTAATTTTTAGAATTTATTTATGGTAAATATAACTCAACGTTAATATAAATTAAAGTTATCCTATAAAATAAATATAATTTTGTATATAATTTGCTAAATTATTTACAATGAAGTCCTATATAAACAAATATAATATATTCCCATATAACGAATGACTCACAAAGCTTTTCAAATACATAAATAAGTTTCACTTTCGGTATACTAGATATAATACCTTATTGTATTTTAGTTGATTTTAGGTTGACATAAAACCGGGAGAAACTGAGAGATTCATCCCAATAGTGTTAACTTTCAGACTGTGGAAAATCTCTCTGAGAGAGTGTGGAAAATCTCCTTGATAGCTGAATATATCATCTCACTAATTCTCAAAACGCTGTGATATAACTATTATATATGTTATAACTACACTCTAAGGCCTCAGTCCTGTGGCAGAAAGTTGGATTAATTCATAGTGATAATGGTGAAAATCCTTTTGAGTCTTAACCCTTCCTGACTAGTCTTATATGGCTTCTAACTGCCAGAATAAGCAGACTTCATTCATCAAAGTTTTATGTCAAGTCAAGGACCCAGAAGCTTTGAAACACAACAGATCTTTGTATTAAGTTAATATGCATAATCTCACCAATCATGTCTGGTCCCTTGGCTGTGATTCTGAGGCCTCTGCTACCCATCGGCACTTCGATCACCGTTTTTATGGCTGTGGAAGAAGAATCACAAACCAGAAAGTCATTAAAGCATCACATAATACAGTGCATGAAATTAAATATAAAATTGGATTAATCTGCAGAACAACTGCATTTATTTCCTAGATGATAACTGGCAGGTCACTCACTAAATTCAACATGCAATGCAGTGTTTCACTCCAAACACAGATCAGAAGAACAGCATCCCTCACAGTTCATGTCAATATCCACTGATGATATGAGATATGGAAGTGCACATAAATACAGTCATTACATTTGAGGGTAAATGAGTTGCAAACACACACACACACACACACACACACACTGCAACACGCTTAATGTGCTCGAACTCTCTCCATAAAAAAACATTTGTGGCTTCCCAGTGTACGGCTGAAAAAAGAAAACCCACCAATTTCCAGTTCAGTAAACAGAAAACCACAACAGAGAACAGCCTGAGTGCTTTCAGTTATGGTTGGATTGAAAGTGTTCTGTAAAAGCAAGCGGAACGGGGGTAATGGAGAGAATGGGAGGAATACAGGAAATCTCTCCAGTTACGCTGTATCTCTACTTATTTTTTATTCTTTATTTAGATTTCTTACACAAAGAGACTTATTACAAGGATAATCCCCCGGAGCGAAGAAACAGTTCTCCCAAAATTGAAAATTCTGACATTATTTTCTCACCCCTCATGCCTTTCCATAAGGATTTTTTGAGGATGTTCAGACATATATATTTGGAACTGGTTTGGAACAACAAATGAGTAAATAATGACTTTTTTTTTTTTTGTAAATTTTGCATGTAAGTGTCTTGCTCAAGGGTGAAAATGGGATTCCTTCAAATATAAACATACTTCATAAAACAGGATGACCAGATCCCCGTTTTCTGGGGACAGTCCTGATATTTTGAGTTTTGTCCCCGACTGCAGCCGTCCCCAGAAATTTCCGTTTTACAGGATTTTCAAATACTTGGCAAAATTAATTCACAAATGTATCCACAGACACATCTTAAAGGTGCAATAGGTGATTGTCTTCAGAAACATTTTTTGTTATGCTGGTTGAAAGTCTCTTCACATCCGGATAGCAATCATTAAAGGGGTCATATGATGCTGCTAAAAAGAACATTATTTTGTGTATTTGGTGTAATGAAATGTGTTTA